AGTGTGTTGTCTCCTAGCTCTAACCTACCACAAAATTTGTTTTGAGGAGTAAATTGGTTATAACTGTAAATTAAATGCATAGTGGCTATGCTAACTTCACACATCTAACAATGGCTAACCTAATTACTTTTCACTTAGTTAAACAACTTTTCTGAATTCACATGCTACACCACACTGATCATATAGGCAGCTTCTACCACATGCTGGTCTAAAATGTAGTTGATTAATTTTGTATCTCAAGGGGTAATATAAGTGTAGCCATTGTGATACAACAGAATATACAATTCTTCTCTAATTTCAGACATACTCATGTATCAGACATTTTAGCAATAAGGGCTACTAGCATCATAATTGCACAACAGGGGTAATTAATATAATTATAGGCCCAAAAATACCATGGGGCATTTTATTCCAGAAATCACTTGAGAAGTGTTATCTAAGAACATTCAAGATAATTAGGAAACCCACATCCAGTATGACTCATAGATTATGTCTTCTGTCAAATACCAAGTGTATAATTTTCCAAGCATTTGAAGCAAAATAACCTTCTGACAATTAATAATGATGAACATTGATATAAAGCTTCATACTTGATTACCAGTTGTACTAGTGCTGCCTCTTAAAATTTCTCTTCCCAAGCTGCTTTCAAAACTCAACTTTTAAATGGCCATGTTAATTGCAAAAGGTGCTTGTGAATATTCTTTACTATAAATCAGGGGTGTCAAACTCAATTTCACTGAGGGCCGCATCAGCATTGCGGTTGCCCTGGGGGGTGTGTGGCCAGAGTGGGTGCAGCCTACTGGATGGGGGTGGATGGAGTGGGTGTGGCCTACTGGGTGGGTGTGGCCAGTTCTACATCATTTGCGTCAAGGGTGCCTGTGGGGGCCTGGGCAGGAGTGGGAGAGATCTGAGGGTCTCTGGCAGAAGGGGGTGGGACCAGGGCAAGTGCCAAGGCATGGTCCACCTGGGCAAGTGCCAAGATGGCCACCACAAAATTGTACATTGGCTCCCAGCTGGCCAGGGCCAAGGCAGCAGGGGCCATTCCCTCACTGTTTCCAGGATGGCTTTGCGGGCTGCATGAAACCACTTCACGGGCCGCATATGGCCCCCGGGGCTTGGGTTTGACATGTCTGCTATAAATCAAGGCAACTTAAACATTGACTGAAATGATTACATTTCTATGAAATAAAAGAACATTTGAAATATTTGTTTTAAATTGGATTATTTGGAAATTCATCTTTTTCAGCCCTATGCTTTCTTTCCAACTGTTATTATATGATGACAATGTCAATCTAACTTATTTGGAAGCAGAAAAGTCATAAACATACCTAGAATTATAAAAAGTGTAAATTTCCTTTTAAGAAGAGTAAAACTATGAAATATAATCACTGCATTCATCTAAAGTCAGAAAATGCTCTGGTACATACCTAGCACTGTAAACGTTGACTGTCGAATAGGCAATCTGCACCCCTCAATTGTTGCCAAGCTGTAATTCAGTACACCTTCAAGCATAGCTAATGATGAAGCTGTTAAAAGCTGTAGTTCAACAGCATGTACACCTTACTTCATTCTTATACTTGTAAATGTATAAAGCAGGAGATGTATATAAAGAAAAGGCTACTATTAAATAATAATTTTATCCAGTATAAAAAGAATATATCTGAATTTTAAATATAATTTCAATTAATTAAATCCAATTTAAGTCATTTAAAAGTTCTTTCACATTAAAGATTAAGGGGGCCTGGAAGTTAAATAGAATTCTGAAGTCACAGGTGCCCTCTTCCAAATTAAAGACTAGTACACAACTCACTTGTCAGTATTGATGAATGAGTTATGAAATGAGTATTGGCAGTATAAGAAAGTTTGCTAAATGGAATCTTAATTACAAGTAATCACAGATGATTAAGCTCTAGGCTCATCTGTTTTGCAGATACATTTTTAGATATGGCAGGAATGAGAGCTAACCATAATTTTAGATGAAATGGGTCCCATTTCCATTTCTTTTCTCCTAAAGTATAATAAAGAGCTGAAAATATAAATATGAACTACAAACTATGAAATTCATATAGAAAAACAGAAGGTTTAATTATGTGGAAGAGATTCATAAAACAAGTCAAAGGAACTTATGATCCATCAGACTGATGAATGCAGTCATTGAACAAACCATATTTACAGGACATGAATATTCTCCCTTTATAGAGACGTATGTTTAAAGGGGAGGCGCGATGGCTCAGTGGTTAAAGATGCTGAGCTTTTCAGCTGGAAAGCTGACAGCCCAGGTTCGAAACCTCCTGCCCACCTAGCAGTTTGAAAATATGCAAATGCAAGTAGGTAAATAGGTATCACTTCAGTGAGAAATTAACAAACAGTATTCCATGCTCCTTTGCATATAGTCATGCTGACTACATGACCACAGAAATGTCTTCAGACAATGCTGGCTTCCTCAGCTAAGAAACAGAGATGAACTCTGCCCTCTAGAGTCAGACACAACTGGAAAGTTGTTTCCCTTTTCCCTTTATGTTTAAAGCAGATATTTGAAACAGATATTTTAGAATAGAATAGAACAGAACAGAACAGAATAGAATAGAATAGAGTAGAGTAGAGTAGACTACAGTAGACTACAGTAGAGTACAGTAGAGTAGAACGGAACGGAATGGATCAGAACAGAACAGAACAGAACAGAACAGAACAGAACAGAACAGAACAGAACAGAATAGAATAGAATAGAATAGAATAGAATAGAATAGAATAGAATAGAATAGAATAGAATAGAGCTGGAAGGGACCTTGGAGGTTTTCTAGTCCAGCCCCCTACTCAAGCAGGAGAACCTATACCGTCTCAGACAGGTGAATGTCTAGTCTCTTCTTTAAAATCTCCAGTGATGGAGCGCCCACGATTTCTGGGGGTAAGCTGTTCCACTGTTGATTGTCCTCACCGTCAGGAAGTTTTTTCCTTAACAACTGCTCACCAATCACTTACCATTCTCATTTATTCTTGGATTTCCAAACGGACCAGTCAAATTTGCTATACCCTCTTATTTTCTTTTCATTAGTCCATTGACATTACCTACCCAAATATTTTTTTCCCTGAGTCACATTTATGCAGAATGTTGCACATTTTTTCCAAAATTCACATTTGGTTCTTTCATTATTATCAAACACTGGAGCACAGCATCACTAACTGTCCTACTTTCATTCACACAACAAAACAATTGACACTAATTCGCAGCTTCTGGTTTATATTTTAATCTTTTCATTCCTAATTAAATCTACTTCATTTCTCTGCATGTCTTCATTAGCTCCACTCCCAATATCAGGCCATTTTTCTTCAAATATATTACATGATTCCTTTATCCAGTGGCGAGATTCAAATATGTGAACAACCAGTTCTCTGTGTGGATGCCATTTCCGGAAGTTCGTTCTGGGCCTGGGCAATAAAAAATTAGCTACCGGTTCTGTCGAACTGGTACGAACTGGCTGAATCTCACCACTGGATGTAATTATGATTTAGTCTATTCTGAAATAAAACACTAGTACCCAATAAAACTCCTGCAAGTTGAAGTTATGCAGCTTGTAGGTTGACACATTTTGCAATAAGCTGAATCCCACCACTCTCCTTATCTCTCCTGTAGAATTTCTACAGAATGGTATAATTATATCAGAAAATGTATTCTGTGTGTGTGTGTGTGTGTGTGTGTGTGTCTTTGTCTCTGTCTGTCTGTCTGTCTCTCTTTCTCTCTGTCTCTCTCTGTCTCTCTCTCTCTCTCTGTCTCTCTGTCTCTCTGTCTCTCTCTCTCTCTCTCTCTCTCTCTCTCTCTCTCTCTCTTTCTCTCTCCAAAGTCTAATAATTAAGAGTTAATCAAATATGTTATGTGAATTGAATAAAAATAAAATAAAATTGTACTATAGGGTCCCATCCTAATTGTTGGATGCTATGAGAGCAAGACAGAAAATGGTTTTTCCCTTACTGGCATATCAAGCACTTCTGGTAACAATGATCCATGGAGATCTTATCATCATAGTATAGACCTGAATCTGGCTTCTGCCTTGTGTTCAGCCAAACTCATTCTTTCTCTTTTACCAGAAAGAGAGGAGAGTCTCTTTTGTGGCTTCATCCCCTGGAATCAACAAGCTCATTGGACTGATGAATAGGGACAGGCCACTTAGTTAACAGTCCTGTCCAAGGCCACTGCTGCCTCTGTATTCCAAGACATGCCTAAAACCATAGAAATACTGGCCACAGGAAAATCCCTACGTGCCCTATGGAAACCAAAAAGTTCTACATAGGTTCACTTTCCTATGCAGATTGGTGCTGCCAATCAATTCCATAGTAATCCAAGTAAGATAAAGGATAAAGGCTCCAAGATGAAAACTAGATCTAATATATCTCTTCCTATATGAGTTGGACCCCTGATGATCTTGGACATGCCCTGGAGAAAGGAAATTAGTGTCACTGAATATGATTATTGCAAATCACGCAGCATGATCCAGCAGCTTGGTTGCTACTGTGGAGCAGAGGGGCCGCTCAGCATTCCCAGTTTGTTATAAAAACTGTAAAAGATTTGGAGAGAAAATACTATAATCCAAACGTTGAAATTGCTTCTTTACAAGAAATACCGATTGCTGCTAAGTTTTTTTTTTCATTCCACTTGTCTACCTTTTGTCTGCTATAAAGATTGCAATGTAATGTCAGGTTCTCACCTTTTCTATTTTTCTAATTCGAGATATATACAAAAATTGAATGGATTTTCTCTCATTATTTATCACAATGCTGAGAGACAGAAAAATTTCCATGGAGGTTTTTTTATTCCCTCTAACACAAAACAGATTCATTTCAAAGTGATGTCCTTCAAGGCTGTAATAACATCAGTGCTGGTTGTGGGGATTTTTTGCTGGGGTGGGTTTTTTGTTTTTGTTTTTTTTTTTTTTGTCTCTGGTGTATTTTTGTCTGCTTCTTGCGCAATGGCTTTGTTCATTGCTTTAAAAGCAGAGTCCATCCGGCTTTGCCATCATACCAACCTGATCTATTATTTCTTTTGTATGGAAAACAGTAAAAAAATAATAACCTATAGAAGGAAAAGTTGGAAAGAATTTTTTTTTCCAAAGAAGGTTTAATAAGAGCATCTGTGACCTGGCATGGCATATATGTATGTATGTATGTATATATGTATATCATTAGAAATGTATTTCAAATTTCTTTCTTCAAACTCTTTTGATTGTTAAGTACCTCCATATCTATTTTCTTTATATATCTATGGTTACAGCTATCATTTGTTCCCTTTTTTTCAATGTTTATAGCTGGTCAGTTATCTTTCTGAATGTAAAATTGGAGCAAAGGACTGGTTGTATGATCTTTTTTAGGATCTGGGTCTAGTTGGTATAGCAATTCCTTCCCATGGAATTAATCTATTATTTTTGTTCTGGTGCAAGAGAGCTATGGTAGCTCTCCAACTGAGAGGAATACAGATGTATCTGTTTCTTTTATCTTTTTATGTCAAAAAGACTTTCAAAGGAAAAGATGTTTTGCAGTTTAGAGTTGTGAGAAACAGTTGCTTAACGGATCTGTTTTCCACTAAAATCTCCAAATATGCAAAATAAAAGAACTCAACTTTTGTCTAAGTGAGGTTATGTGTAATTTCTGGGCTGAACATTTTGCATCCCTGCGAAAAAGTCTTTGAAGCCAGAATCTTCAAATGGGAAGCTGAGGAGTGTTTCTTATCTCATTTTCAAATCTTCCTACCTAAGACATTCACGTTAGTTTGAGAGACTGAAGGAAGAGACTGGAAATGAGTGGTAACTATTGTGTGAAGGTAAATAAATGATGGGAAGAAATGGGAAAGTCTATTCAATAGCAAACGTAGTACTTTTATTTCCGCTTTGACACAGCAAGATGTTTGAATCACTCACAACAATGAAATCTCCCTTTGGGATTGAATAATTTTTCCAGCCTTGTATGAAATTATGTGATATACTGTTTCGCTAGGGAAACTCCAGATAATCTTTCCTCCTGAAGGTGTATACCAATCCTTTCTTTTCTGGCTCTGTTTCTAAGGCCAGTCAATGAATTAAATGCTTTTCACACCCCATGCATTGTGTACTAAGTCTGCAGCTGGAAGTTTTTATGTACAGTATGTTGGATTACTTCTTCAGTTATTCATTCACTCTAAGATAGCTGTGTTGCTCTGTTGCAACATCACACAAGTAGAAATGAGACTTATATGGACTAAAGTCTATTTTTGACAGATTTATATTTGACCATCCTTGCAAATAGTAATTTAATGTGCAAAATCCCACCAAGGAATGCTTTCTTCCTACTCTAACATTTCTTTGTGTTTGTTTAGCAATGGTTATTATTTCTACAAAGGATTTGGAGATAAATCCATTTCCCACACTATTAGTTTCAGTTGTACAATCTGCAGTTTTACTCTTGGTTTTACTGAAATTGTATTCATTGTAGATAAATAGGTACCACTTCGGTGGGAAGGTAACAGCATTCCATGACCACGGAAATGTCTTCAGACAGCACTGGCTAAATGGCTTATACCAAGGATCTTCAAACTTGGCCCTTTTATGACTTGTGGATTTCAACTCCCAGAATTCCTCAGCCAGCATGCCTGGCTGAGGAATTCTGGGAGTTGAAGTCCATAAGTCATAAAAGGGCCAAGTTTGAAGACCCCTGGCCTATACTATAATGTGCAACAACTAGCAGAGTAAAATCCACAGGGGTTCCTTTTTAACAGAAATTATCTTTCAGATTTTTTTCTGGTCAAAAGAAACTACCTAGAAGACAGGGAGTAGAGCATGAGTAGCATGTTGTCATATTATCTTGAGGATATGATTTACATGAGGTTAAAGGAGCAATACACATCCACAGTGTGATGTTCATTGAATGTGTTGTCTGCAGTAATGAGCTAGGATGGAAAAAGCAGTGAAGCAACAGTCCTGTAACCTGGGAATAGACAACACTGAATTCATTAATTGTTGTTGGTTTTTTTAATACTCATATTGAGGATGTGTTTTATCTCCCCTCCCCCACACCCATTTTGACCCGCTAGATAATTTGTTTGTTTGTGTCCCACCTTTATTATTTTTACAAATAACTCAAGGTGGTTAATATATCCAACACACCTTTTCCTCACAACAACAGACCCGTGAGGTGAATTGAACTGAAAAACAGTGGTGCAAAGTCACCAAGATGGCTTTCATGGCTAAGGCAGAACTTGAACTAATGATCTCCTTCTTTCTAGCCTGGCACCTTAACAACTAGACCATTCTATTTAAATAGTTAAATAAAGTCTATTTAACTATTTATTTAATTATAAAAATGAATTGTCATTTAGCTTTAAAATATGCTTCCTTTTTAAATAGCTATATACACTGAATTAATAAATAAATCTAGTGTGATGTCTACACATGACAGGATATTCCTTAAAAAATACGCTAAGAATTGGAAGTAGTATGAATTTTAAAATGCAGTACAAATGAATTGTAAGGGACTGATTTGAAAACAAAATAACTTTAGTTCATTTTTGAAAAATAAAAATCCCAATGAATTATTCATATTACAAAGAAAAGAACACAACATTTAAGGTGCCCTTGAATATATTTCTTTCTATTTAAAAATATAGTTTACATTTTTAAATGTAAATGTCCAAAAGCAACAGTAAAAAATAAGAACAATAACTCAAAAAGACGAAGCACTATGAAGATCAATAAACAAAGGTTTTTGGTAAGCTTCCTACTCAATGCCAGGGGATGATTTGAGCACATCACAGATAAAGGATCTGACCTCCAGAGTTCATCTCCATATCCTGGGTGAATCCAGATCTCATGGTGGAGGTTGCCTGTCATACTATTGGATTTCTGCCTCTGGAGGAGAAAAGGAAGATAGTAAAGGAGGAAAGCACACTAGCAAAGGAAGACACAGTGAGTCTCTGTACTCCCCTCATTGCACATATGAATAATTTAAAGGAAGGGACATAGGCATTAGTACTTGCGTGAATCCGTTTCCAAAATATTAAATTCTGTGTTTATGTTAATTATCCTCTCTATAATGCACCCTTAAATAATTCTGTGCATGAGGCTTACTTCTCATATTCACTATATTTATACTCAGATATATAGAAATATCAAATATGAATAAAACATACATTGTAAGAAATGTAGAAGATCTCAGTTCAAACATTAACTATTTTTGGCACAGCATATAAAAGTAACTTTAGGAAATGTTTCATGATGGTAGTACAATGCTAAATTACTTCCCTGACATTCTATGTAGAAAGAACATTAAAATGGTTTTAATATTTCCATTATTTCCATTTTGTGTTATATTCTTACAGATATGACCAGCAGCTGGTTAATTCTCTAAGAAGTAAAAAAAATGTTCGGAGAAACCAAGATTTTTAACTCTTGCAGACAATTCACTGGCAACATTCTTTGCACTTAAGGCTAGAAATAGAGCTGATTCCTGTCAGCTTCTTTCCTATTTAGTTAAAGACCATTTGTAGTGGAATAGAGCAAATATTCCTCAAATAAATCTGGCAGCTGAAGGATTTCTGATTTATCTCTTTGGTGAACTTTAGGAGACTCTTTGTACTAACCACACTGAAGCTGTTTTTCTTCTCTCTTGCACAATAGTTAAATTCAAATGTCAAAGCAGATCTTAAGTTCATAGGTTCTACAGATAAATATCAGACAGAAACATTCTCTGATGAACAGATTTGTGCTGGGAATAACTGACACTTCATAACATCAACATTTTGCAAATCTTGGAGAGAAAGTCTGTCTTGAAAAAAAGTTTGTTATGGGCACATTTTTTGAAACCCTATAAGTGCAAGTGAGTCTTTTTTACATAGGGATTTGATCTGATTAAGGATCTAGGATACCACGCAAAATTTCCTATCATAACAGGAAATCTATTCAGTGATCATAGCTTTCATTTTTTTTCTAGTAACTTCTCACCCATACTTTTGGTCAATTTCAACAAAAGTTGGGTGCAGAATTGCACTTGCTAAGACTTCAGGAATGTTTGAGCTCATAGAATTAATTCTGGTACAGTCAATGAAAAAACTCTAAGTCACCAACTTTTTCTTCTTTATGGATCTACTTTCATGAAATGAATCTTTCTCTTCTGTCTGGAAGCAGATAATTATATTCAGAAAAACTTCTGATATGGACGGGATGTAATTTACTCTTTATTTTTTTTATTCAATGTATAATTTTCAGAGTAAATATTAAAATTTTGTGCATCTGATTCAAATATCCTTGGTGGGAAATGTTAATGTGCTCTTCTACTATCAAATTATATTATTAAAAGGAATTATAAAGGCTTTAAAGAGCAATAACTTGTAGTTCAGTCACTTCTGGAGTCAAATAAACCAGTAATAAGACATTTTTATTTTTAGGAAATATCCATTTGTATAGTGTTTGCATGAGTATGTCACATTTAGAAAGGCATATGGTATTATGCTTACATCACAAGAGGTTGTGGTCTTAAGAAATTACTTTTCTATTTGTACCCTCATTTATTCACAATGTTTTTTTATAATCAAGATATAAAAAGAATTGATCTTCCTCAGTAAATTTTTAATATTTGTAGAATAATCTTGATAAAAGAAGCCATATTCTTCAGACAAATGTAAACTGTATATTAAATGGAATATATTATCAATGATCATAAATATATTCTTTTTCCTGTTTCTTTCTTTGCAGGAATCAGAAGTTAACTAAATTAAGAAATCGCTGTAACTAGTTAGTTTCAAGCTAATCAGCCACAAGAATAATGTTTGTTATGCCATTAATAAGGTATATTCCAAGAGGACAGCAGAATGCTCAATAGACAAGATACGAAGGCCAAAACAAAGGACCAGACATACAAATATCATTGAGTTGGAGATGATGCTTCATACAAATTCTGTGAGTACTGAGAACACATGGTTTCAGTTAAGAATATGAAAATGTTTGGTGAATTTTATGTAATTGAAAAGTTTTGTAGCTATGTGAACACGAATGCCTGTAGTTTACTTAGTACTGTTCTCAGGTAAAAAATGACCACAGGGGAAAGATGTGGCTGCCTTTGCAGTGAAGATGAAAAACATTGTAGGCAGTCATAATTAAGAGTAATCAAAATAGCTGTCCTATTTCTAAAATTCTATACCCATTAAAGTTAGTACGGTAAGTTTGTTGCTGTAACCATTGCTTATCACTTATTACATATCATAAAATACAATAAAATGAAACAATAAAATGAAATATTTTTTAAAAAGCAAGCATATTAGAAAAAAGATTAAACAATATAAAGCAAGAACTATAACTAAGAATTTAAATATTTCTAAGTTTAAATGAGAGCAATCTGTTTATTAATAACTAGAACTAGAATCTGTGTTCCAGATTCAGTTCTAAAAAGGATTTTGAAACAATGGATGTGCAAATTCTGTAAAGTAGCAAGCATCTTTTTCTTAAATATGACAGCTGCCCTTGGATACTAAGATATGGCTGCTTAAAGTTGCAGACAGTGGTATTTTAGCACTTCCATATGCTCTAGATCAGATTTTTCAAATCAAATCAAATGCACTACACAACCTTGTTATTCACTGCTTTCTGGTTGGGACCAACAGTAGTAATATTGGGAAGCTGTTTGATAAAAGGCATTGTATCCAAACTTTGCCTTCCTTTTTATTTGCACAGTGCTCATAAAAAATAAGGAAACCTTACAGTATAATTTGTATAAAACTAAATATCAATGGGGCATAGCATCTTTCACTGCTTGCCTCTAAGCTCAGCACAAAAAGGCTAGCATCTTTATCCTACTTGTCTCATCTTACTATATCCCCAGCTCCTAATACTAGAATTTTCCCTTTTGTTTCAAGAACCTCCAAGGTCAGGCTTTGTAAATTATTTCTGCTGGATTTTGTCACCACTATGTTGGAGAGATGACTGGCAGTAGAGGCAAGACAAAAATCAGCAACAGAAAAAAGTAATTGTCTTGGTGAATTTTTCTCCCAGATCAAGGATAAGTGGATAATACTTCAACTTAGCAATGGGAAAATGTCCTTTAAGTTCAGTACTGAGAAAACAATACTGTATAGTCCTGTAACAGTCCAGTAAAACATAGTCTAGTGGGTTAACAAGCATATATTGCAGGACCTTCAAATCCCAAACAACTGTGGAAACTTAGGCTGAATCCCTTTCATGAAGCACTGGAATATCATAGCATATTATGTATTGACAAGCCCAAATATATTCTTTAAGCTCTATACTTAAAGAATTGAGTCTTTAAGCTAATGTAGTCCTCATCATGGACTTACAAGCTGTTCTTAATCCAAGATCTTCCATAAAATTCAAGTTGATTGTTAAGAGTCCACTCAAGATTTTCATATGCAATAGAAAGATTGCTAGCTGTTTCTTATTGTCCATTTTAACAGCATGTTCCTAATCCAGGAACAGGGCTCATTACTGAACATAATGTATTTTAATACATAAAGCCCTATGCAGAATTTAGCATACAACAGATTGATAGCATTGTGTATAAAAAGGGTAATCTTGTCCCTATTTTAGTTAATAGTCCCTCTGAAAGAAGATGGATAAATTATTATGATTCAGTCTCTAGATTGAAAAACTATTACTACCAAGGCAGTACAAATAATTTTAAACTAAATAAAGCTCAGAAAGCTTAATTATGTAAGGTAAATTGCCAATACTTTCTCTTATTCATTTTCCATTTCAATAAAATTTTTCAGTAGGCAAGTACTGAAGTACTCATGAAATAATACAAAAATGACCATTAAAAGGTTAGAAGGACCATATACATTTTGTCTTGTTCTTGTTTTCATGCTCATGTCAATTAAGTGATTATTTTTATAAGGCTAAAATAGAAGTACAGCCTTGTTACATATATACATTCTTCCTATTTAAATTATAGACTAAAGCTATATGATGTATGACTTACATCTGATGTGCTAAAATTTTAATTTGCCATCACCGAGAAAAAATAAAATTAAAATTTTATAGATATGTATTTTTTCTGCAATCAAACCTAGGATCTTGGACAAAGGAAGTTGAACTACGATCTTCAAAAAATTAAGGTCTTCATTCAGCAATTCTATAAGAGCAAAAATAAAATAGGCTTGCACAATCCAACTTGTAATTTAATTATAATCTTGAATCTGTTTCTTCAATAACAATATCTGCAGTTATCAAAATTTCACAGAAATCTAATGCCAAAGATAGTGGGATTTGCAGAGCTTTGGGAGAAATGGATAAAGGAACAAAACTGCAATGCTGATGAATTTATTCCAATGTCAATTAGGGAAAGAATTTCCAATGATGCTCTGAAAACAAACAAACAAAAGTGCTACTCATCCAGTGTCCTTGGAGGGAAGAAACAGAGATATGGGAGATGGAGCATTTTTGCAATTCTTGGTTGCTAGTAGAAAAAAAAAGGCTTCATACGCAAATTTCATCCTTGCAATTCTGTACTGCCTGAAAAAAAAACGTAGGGAGTGCATTATACACACTAGACTAATTAATATATAAACTTATCGTATGTTCACATCTACCCACATACTGTAAATTGTATATCACCGCATCAATGGCAAGGTGACTAGAATGGAGCTCCTCAGGAAGCAAACATTTTTTTAATACATTAGTCATAGCTGCATAATGTAGTCATAGTATATAAGTTATATAATATCACTAGTAACATTAGGAATTCTGGTCATGTAGGACAGGTGAACTAAAAGTGTTCCTACCAAGAAGCAAATTGTTGAGGAAGTTGTAAACAGAGATCCAAAGAGTAAAATGTACTTTAGCCCAGTATTCACAGAGAGGAAAGAAACTAAGAGATTTCTTTTTGCTTCTCTATTTCTCTGGATTGAAAAGCTCTTGTACTGTCCCCTAAATGTGCGCTTCCTTCAGGAAGAATGGAATATTTTTGATTCTCTTCCCTTTCTTCCACTTAATAAGATCACTAAAATCTGTCTGGAAAAAGTTTTACCAAAATCCCCTGGGATCTATTTACAAGTTAATAATTACAATAAGGATTATGTATAATTGATTAACTGTTTTAAAAATTAATCTGCTTCTCAGTACTAAAAATATACTTTTCCTTTCAGAAAAGTGGAGGTGGGTTACCAATAAGATTTGTAGCACAGTGAGAATCAAGAGTTTGAGAGCTTCTCTGAGAGAAGAACTAGAAAATCATTGGAGAAACTAGGTGCTAGGTGACTGGACAAATGTGTTACAGGCAAAGGAGCAAACAGAGCCATCTGCTAGTTGTCATGGCTACCAAACACCATTCTTTCTAAGCAGTCTTCATTTCATAAGATTTTACTTTAATCTTAAATCATCTTATTGGAGAAAGAGCATGTTGATTATTTGGACAGGATACTAAATTTCAGAGAACATGAGTTATAGTACATACATAAAATCAAGCCAGCCATATGAATTATGAGATATAAACATAGTTCATGAATACATGCATAAAATCCTGTCAGAAAAAAAACCATGACAAACAAATATGTGGATAGTTTCCAAGATAAGAGCAAGGATTCCCTTAAGGACAGCTGAATTCCTAGGGACTCTACACACATGTCCATTAAGTTTTCCTGGTAGCCATATGCAAGTGTTCTGCCATTGCCTTTTTCCAGAAAGCTGTTTGATACCACAATCTACCTTTCTGGCTTCCTATTTCCTAGTATTTCCTGTATAAATATTAAGCAGGCCCAACGTTGCTTAAGTCTCTTAAGACGATGTCACAAATTTTCCTGGTTTTCATGTTCCTGGAATATTAAATTAGTTTTTGCACTAATGTAGAAACATGAAAAGTAGAATCTCAAAGGTGCTTACTTCTTCAAAAGACAACTAGATTGTTTTTTTTTCCTTGAGGAAGAAGACGAAAACATTTCATTTCTCATCCAAGAATTCTAATCAATTCTGATGGGAGGGATGGAAGGATAGTTACTGATAGGATATGGGGGTGGAAGGATTGTATTCAGTAGTGGGATTCAGCTGGTTCACACCATTTCGGCAGAACTGGTAGGTAATATTTTGTTGCCCAGGCCCAGAATGGTCTTCCGGAAGTGGCATCCACACAGAGAATTGGTTGTTCACATATTTGAATCCCATCACTGATTGTATTTCTTTGCAGTCATCTGGTCATTAGCCCTCTCTGAGAGCCCCCACCATCCAGTCTCAACTGTCAGTACTTATATTTCCATGAAGCTTCTTGGATGAGAAACGAAATCTCTTCTTCTTCTTCTTCTCCTCCTCCTCCTCCTCCTCCTCCTCCTTCTTCTTCTTGAAAAAAACAGTCCTTTGATATATGAAAATCTTTATAATGGTAAATAAATGTGTATATTTCTAGTTGTCAGCCATACAATCACCATCCTCTGCTTTTTGATATCTATTTGTTTTCTGTAATTCAAGTTTTTTTCTCATTAATTTGCATTGAACACAAAAATATCTGTGGCATTTATGGAAAAGAATCCCTATGCAGGAAAAACAAATGTGTAATTAACCTCTTGCCTGACAGAATCACCCTCTTCAAATCCAGATGAACTGCAGCTTTGCCTAGCTTTATTCCAACAAGCAGCAGCTGTTGAATAATTTGGCCTGAAGTCTGCTGGCTTTTCATCAAAAAGCTTTTCTGAGTCACCAGCTGACCTGGCCTCAAAGAAAAGGCCCTTTTCATTTTCAGACAGATAAATATTGTCTTTCAAGATTTTCTCTCCCTCAACCAAAAATATTTCTATTTTTGTATGTTATGATTTCTTGAACTTATAGCTCTATGTTTCCCACTCAATTCCTACAAAGCCATTATTTTTGCAGACTTTTCTATCCTGAAGTTGACAAACATGAATAGAGAAGCAAAACCTGGGCAGATCAGAAAAGGCAAAAGATAATCACTACTTCTTTCCTTTCCTTTCTCTCCTTTCCCCAACCCAGATGAGAAAAAATATTTTCCTGTTGCAATTCATCCCCATAAAAATGCTGGGTGGGAAAAATGTTCCACTTTTCTTTCCTCCCTTCTACTCTGTGATCCATCCCTGGCAAGTTGCTCAGTTGCCTGGAGGCTCTGGTGTTATCAAGCAACTACATTTCTGATGGATCACAATGGGTGGCCCATTGGATCATAGTCTTCTACTGGGATTAAGTTTTATTGTTCACTGTTTGTTTACTGAAAGCAGCTTTATTACACCTAAGTCAGTCAATCTGATTTCCAAATAGGCTTGTTGTTCAATTTGCACCATTATGTACACATCCTTGACCTGTTCATGGAAAAAGCCTATAAAGCAACTGTTACATGAATGCAGGGAGAAGACTATCAGGCCTGTTTTTTGTCAACAAGCAATTAATACAATATGATTTTCCCATGTCTGAGCAGGTGCTGTACAACAAAACCCAAGCTCCCCAGAGTGGTGGTATCACCATGCAAGGATGTAAGGGGAGAGCTTGTAGAGTGATATTGTTGTGGTGTGGGGCTTGATATAACTTGTTGGGCTCTACAGTAGGCCTCTGGAGTGGGAAGGAATGAATATTTTCATTATTTTTCATTGCAATTCCTTCTCTTCCTCCTCCACTCCCATCCAGGAGGCTAATAGCACATTTCATGGTTTTCATTTTATGGGGCCTCTATTGTTTTTATTGTTTTATGCACTGCTCAGAGATGGCGTTACAATACGGGCAGCTATGTACATCTTTAAAATAAATAAATAATAATACACGTGATGGTTTTGCCCAGAAAAATGATGTTAGGCAATACATTAAGCATCATTCCCTTGCCATTTCATCCTAAATATACTTAGTCGAATAAGTCTGACTAAATATGAGTAGAGTGGATCAATTGTAACTAGAAAGTCTTATATTCTGCTTTGATCTTTCTAGATAGCACAGGAAAATCTGAAAGGGGTTCATATGAGCATTCATTTGAAAGTTTGTTAAAGAATCCAGGGAACTTGGAATCCAGATAAAACAATCCCACTCAAACCTTTTATTTATATAGGAAAGTGGGCAAAGCAGGCAAAATCCTGCAACTGTGTGTGCATCCCATGCCGCTCTTGGGGATGAAACTAATGCAGGCATTCCATAAACTGGCATATCTTGCCATTCTCTATTCAAGGATAATATATGAAAAGGCCTATTTATTACTGATCAATCAGTTCATAGCAATTCTCCCATATCTAGCTGAATCAGATGTTCAGCTTGATCTATTTGCAGTTGCCTAATCAGGTCAGAGTAACTGTCATGCATTTCTCTCTACCCACCCACCCTTATCCTCTCCCACACCCTCAAATCAAAAAGGTTAAGGAGATGAAGACCAACACGGCTTCTGAAATAATAAGACTTCTGGAGGAGAGAAGTATTCATGTCTTTGAAAACCACAGTGAGCCATCACTGAACATCTCCGACTGCATGACAATTGTTGTGCCAGAGGAAGTCTTCTTCACCATTGCTACAGTAGGAATCCTGGAGAACCTGCTGGTGCTCATTGCAGTAGGGAGGAATAAGAATCTGCATTCCCCCATGTACATTTTCATTTGCAGCTTAGCTGTTTCAGACATGTTAGGAAGTTTGTCCAAGACTCTGGAGAATATCTTCTATATCATATTTTGCAAAATGAGATACCTTCCATGTCGTGGAAAGATGGCAACAACTGTGGATGATATTATAGATTTCATGTTTATTTCATCTTTACTGGGATCAATTTTCAGCCTTTCAGCCATTGCCGCTGACCGATATATAACGATATTCTATGCACTGCGTTACCATAACATCATGACTCAAAGGCGGGCTTTGCTGATTTTGCTGGTGATTTGGACTTTCTGTGCAGGGAGTGGCATAGCAATGGTGATTTTCTCCCATGAGACTGCAACTATTGTATCTTTCTCAGCTCTGTTTTATTTCATGCTCATTTTTATCCTCTGCCTTTACATCCATATGTTTCTGCTTGCCCGTTCCCATGCCATAAAGATTGCCTTGATGCCTGCAAGTTCTGTCCACCAGAGAGCTAACATGAAAGGAGCCATTACGTTAACAGTGTTACTTGGTGTTTTTCTCTGCTGCTGGGCTCCCTTTGTTCTTCACATGCTTCTCATACGGTTTTGCCCCGAAAACCCTTACTGTGTTTGCTATTTGTCCATCTTCCATGTCAATGGTATGTTAATCATGTTCAATGCTGTCATTGATCCCATGATTTATGCATTTCGAAGTCCAGAACTGAGAAGTACTTTTAAAAGATTGTTCTGCTGCTGGCAGCCAAGCTGGGCTTAGCTACTAGAAATTCAAAACTCCAGTGAGCAAGTTATCATGTAGGATCTCAAGGATTCTAAAGCAGGAGTCTCCAACCTTGGCAACTTTAAGACTTGTGGACTTAAACTCCCAGAATATACATACGCTGGCTGGGGAATTCTGGGAGTTGAAGTCCACAAGTCTTAAAATTGCCAAGGTTGGAGACCCCTATTCTAAAGGATCTAAACATGTCAATTATCAATGCTGCTCCCCCAAGCTTAACATCAGTAATTAGACTGCCATCAGATATAGGCCTCACTCAGATCTTTGTACATAGATAATGAAATTCCTTAGAATTTGCCAAAGGAATCTGCAGTATTAGGGCATTACAACTGAAGTTGCTATATTATTTACTGCTGATCAATGCATATGTTTTCTGTAACCAATTAAGACATTCTTTGAGCTAATGCACATATTTATCCTTTATTCTTTCCACCTAGTAATAGGATTTTGCTCAAATCCGTATATTGCACTATATGCTGCAGCTGTTAAACAAGAATCAGATTGTAAAATATGTTTTTGTTCCCCTTTGCTTTAGGTTCCATCTTCCTCTTATAAAAACAATGTGTATTAATGATTTGCAGAATCAAAGAAAATAGCTTCAATACTGCTAAAGAATAGCCAGGTTTCAGACCCATAGAGCATGTTATAATCTAGGATCAACATTCAGGAAACATAAGAAATATCTCCAAAACATACTGACCAACAGTCATGACTAATATATTTAACCCCCATGTACAAAGGCATCCCCTCCCTCTGTACAATTTCTGGGGAACACATTGGGATATGTTACTACAGTCATGTCCTGGGTGATATGCCATAGATACCTGAGAGGTCATTAAGGAAACAAGTCAATGGACTAAATAAATTTGTTATCCCACATAATAATGCTTTTCCATAAAGAGGTGGCTATAAGGAGACATACATTATCTGTGCTGTGGGGTTTTTTTTAAAGAAATTAACACCTTAATTATTATCTGACTCTGTCCCAAATGTTGTTGTTGTTGTTGTCGTCATCGTTATCATTTTATCTCATTATTGTCATCACCCTTATCACACTATTTGTGTTATCTCTTATTTAAAATATCACAGCTTTGATAAGAGGAATGTTACAATAGACAAAATGGTCAATAAATAACATCAATAGAACTGTTATCAATTAATAAAACAAATTTCACACTTTCTATAATATTTGTTACTTCTTAGATGAACTGTAAGTATCACAAAATATTTTACAAATTACTTACTATATTCATCTTAGATATCTGGAACAAAAGAATCCAAGCAGAAGCCAAAAAAATGTGTCCAGATAAAAATGTTCTTGGTTATTTTAGGTTAACTTAATATTTCTCATCCAAACTGCTTCTTGTGCTGAGATCCACAAAGGTGTTTTCAGGCGCAACCTGAGTTGGTATCTATTCCATATTCTCAATATGATACATCTAACATAATGATTTTTAAAATCCACCTTAACCTTGACTTTATCATACCATAATTATCCATGCTACCCAAATCTCAGGTCATATCCTTCTAACTCCAAAAGCCTTCTGTTTCTCAGCAGTAGCTACTCTTTCATCCATGGATAACATAACCCTTGAGTTGATTTCTTATAATCAGCATCTAGAGGCTGAAGCTGTTGGCAAGGGGCAATAGAAAAGTGTTCATTTAAAAAAATCTATTGTCCATCATATTCGCCAAAGCTATTCTCCAAAGCACCTGAAGGCAGGACAAGAAGCAATAGATGGAAACTAATCAAGGAGAGAAGCAACCTAGAACTAAGGAGAAACTTCCTGATAGTTAGAACAATTAACCAATGGAACAACCTGCCTCCAGAAGCCGTGAATGCTTCAATACTGGAGGTTTTTAAGAAGAGACTGGACAGCTATTTGTCCAAAATGGTGTAGGGTTTCCTGCTTGAGCAGGAGGTTGGACTAGATGACCTCCAAGGTCCCTTCCAACTTTATTATTATTACTATTATTACTATTATTACTATTATTATTATTATTATTATTACTATATTTTAGCAATACATATGTATCTAACTGTTACTTGAAGGTGAGACCAGATGCAGCAGAAATAAAATCAAACAGCTGTAAGTTCTATTCTATTATATTCCTCACAATGATGAATAAAATTCTCTTAACTGTAACTTTCGTGACCTTTCTGTTATTGTACTTTTTCATCTTCAGATAACTGTATCTGAAGATGAAAAAGTACAATAACAGAAAGGTCACGAAATTGCTATTGACTTTCTTGCAGATTATGGGCTATGAAAGTATTTACTAAATTGCTATCAGACCATTTATTACAGTGCACCTCAGAAATTACTTTTCTAGCACCATAGAGTATAAATTTTCACAGAACATGGACAGCAATTCATTATGACAACATCCAGTTTGTACCTCAAAATTCAGGCATTATTCCTTTATGTACCATGACCATCATTTGTGAAGTTCTTCAGCAAGACTGTGCCTCATAGACTGCATAATTAAATTGTCTCTACACAGAGTTCTGGAAATTCTCATTATGTACTATTGAAAGTAATTAACCTCTGTCTGCTTTGAAGCAGAAGTACACCAATCAAAGTAATTAATCAATTGGCAAACATTTCAATTAGTTAAATGTAAGCACCCATTGTGGGAAAACATCTGCTGGATTTGGTAGAGGTGTATGCATCCAAATGCTTATGTACAATGGACTACTACTCTATATCGCTCTCTTGTGATAAATATAATCTTTTAGTTGCTCTTGCCTGGGTTCACCTGGGGACAAAATGAAAGATGTATATTGGCTGAGCCAAAAAGAAATGTAAAAACAGGAAAGAGAGCAGAATCTTGTAAAAAGACGAGTACTGTACATGTAAGATAAAGCGCACTGTATAAGAGAAAGCTCTTATACAGCTTTTTGGGAAAAGTGAGAGTACTGAGACTGGAAAGGAATGCTATTGGTTGAGTTTTAGGAATTGGTATTTTCAATCTATTTAGAATTTCCCTCCCCAAAGTAAAAGGTCATTAATCTTTTATTATACTCATCTAATAAAAAATAGTTTATCCAATTGTGAGTAGTGTTGTGTCCTGAGCCTGCAAAAGCAGGCTCGGGACGTTGCATTGGTCCCAGGCATTCCAAAAGTTGTCCGGGACCAGACAGAGCGGCGCCGGCCTTGTGCACATGCGCAAGGCGCAAAAATGCTCTGTTCCTATTGGTTGACACTGTCCGGGCTTCTGGCCATATAAAAGGCCTGCGTGCCTTTTGCTTTTGCTTGGTTGTTGTAGAAGGAGAATAAAGTGTTTGTTTAGCATCGCCATGTGTCTTCATCATTCGCACGCGAACGAAGTATACAACAAGTAGTAATTCAAAATCTATTGTATTGATTTGGAAGTAAAAATTAAATTTAGAATAAATTACTGTCTACACTCAATGAAAATCCATTCCTAATAGTTTTAGGAATTTTTTATTCAAAAAATATTCTGTATTAAATAAACACACCTTTATCAAAAGACAACTTTCCACCACAAGAAAATACACTTCTTTGTGAGACCAAATTTTATTTTAATTCCAAGAGTTCTGTTACATAAATGTACAAAGTATAATGAGGTAATGGCTCCTAACTGAGAAATTATACATACATGAGTAATATTGAGATTTTGAAGGTTTTGAGCAAAGAATTTTTTCAAGCTGATAGGCTAACAATTTCCAATTTGAATAGTTTTGTTGAGTTCATATGGCTCAAAAGTTTTTCTCCAAACCAATTAAACAAGCAGTCCCTTTTCTTGTCTTTCCTTCAAATGATGGCCTAGATGTTAAAGCTGGTGGATCCTACTGGAGTGAGGTTTTTTAATGCCAAAAGAGCTAGTTCTCTTGAGTTTCATTGAACCATTAATGTCAAATGTCCTGATAAGCTTTACTGTGATGACACTTTCTAGGGACAATTTTAGCTGAATGAGATTTACTTTCTATTATAGCGTCCTGAAAATTATGTTTCAAATTGTAGGTAATCGCTGAACTAACATTATCTGAAATCATCGGGTCAATATTCCTACAATGAAGTTATCTTTAGCACTTTTCTTCCCTTCCTTTCTGCTTGGATTGATTTGGGTATGTTATTTTAAAAAATATGTATTTAATCACGTCATCAAGCTATAAATGAATGAAACCTGTGAAACCTCCTTAAACTCTTCCAATTAATCTTACCAAGATATTTCATGGAAATCATCACTATATTTTTCTTTCAAAACTCTGAACAGTATTCAAACACAGTATGTCATCGATTGAGAATAAACTATGTCAATATTAGCAATTAGTATGACAGCAGTACTTTTTTAAATTTACATGATTGTCCTATTCCCTGTAAACCATCAACAGAGAAGTACAGTACTATTTTTTCACAGATTTGACTTCTATAATAATAATTACATAAAATAGTGCAGAATGAGATTTTCAGTAATTGGAAGGACCTAACATTTATAGATCAATGCACTAATGACATTTTTGCTAGCATCTGCTTTGTTCCATATTCTATTTTTTTCTTTTTGTACTTTAACTTTTTTAAAAATGGGGAATGCTGCATGCCAGCTTTAGGTTTCTGTGTACTGCAAGATTTCTTAGAAAATCAACATGTTTTCAAGCCATCTATTCCAGAAAAATGGCAGGAACCAATGTGGATTGTAGAGATCATCCTGTCTCTCTACAAGAGAAAAAGTGATACAGTAAAACATCACCAGTTTGCCTATTAGAAAATGGATGTTTTGTGAAAGACCATATCAAACAAGATGCTTTTTTTCTCAGAGTGTCCACAATGTTCTATCAAAACCACACAGGATGTCACCACCACACATCCACGCAAAAAGCAAACCCAAAGCCACACCGATGATGAGGCACGACCACAAACCAGAAGCCAGACTACAGCTGCATCATTAGCCACTTTAAACCCCTCCAATCCATACATGAAGGAAACTGACACCCTCCATGAAGAGGAAGCAGGACCACGAGCGCGAAGCCAAAAAATAGCAAGGCAGCCCAAAATCTTAAACCTCCCTGCAACTCAGACTAACCTGAGCACAACCAAACAGAATACTCCCCCAGCCAATCAGAGCACAGCCAAACCCCCAGCCAATCAGAGCACAGCCAAACCCCCAGCCAATCAGAGCACAGCCACGCCCCTAACCAATCAGAACACACCTCCACCCAATCAGAACACAGCCAAGCTCCCACCCAATCAGTTCATACCTCCACTGGCAGTTAAAAGGAAGAAACAGCTAAGACCACACATTGCTCCTCGAAGCACGAAGCTGAAAGCACCAGCCTGAAGATGACGAATGGGACTTCGTCAAAACGTCGCCAAGACACTTCCAATTTTACGCGGGAGAAAACCCGAACAACCAAAGACCTACATACAAACACCCGCGAAAACCTCAGAAATATATATATTCGTAGATTTTCATGAATATATATATTGTAATCCTAGAGTCTTGCCTAGAGACTGATTGAGATGGGCAGCTATAAAAATCAAATAAATAAATAAATACACAAGGATGATGAAAGGATGGAGCCAGGTTACGAGACCTTCTGGCCCACATCACCCTTTTCCTGATATATGGACATCCATTGCCAGAATTCCCCAGTCAACATGACTATGCTGAAATTCTCAGAGTCAAAGTCCACACGGGTGGAGAGGAAAGTTCTCCTACATAGCTTATAGCTCTTATATATCAAGTAAAATGCCTGAAAGGGGCACATGTGTACTGTTGCCATTCAAATTGAAGTTTACTAAATGACTGACAAAAGGCAGCCATTTTTTTTTCTAATTTTCCTCTTTCCAGACTTCATATTTATGCAACCCATTTTTAGTCTGGCCAGCTTCTCAGTTCAGCTACATTTCTAAGTTTAATTTGTTTCCTCCAAGCTAGTTTTCTTGTAACTCCACTCATTCTCCTGAACCCCTTGTGCAAATTATGTTCTTCAGGGGAAGAAGAAGGGGGGAAAGCAGAATGATCAGTAAACAATGTAGCAAGTCTTAAGGTTCTCTTTGAAATTGTTCATCAGGATACCAGGCTAAAACAAGGGATCTGAGTCAACTTTTAAACAACAGAGCATGAGTTAGTGCTTTCTTCTGCACCCAACATTATGTTCTACATATTGATCATGAATAAATACAGAATTAAAATAAGATTGTAAGAAAAAATATATAATATAATATATATGTATTATATAATATATAAGAAAAAATCTTATATTTACTGTAATTTATAAAAAAAGGGTTCAATCTTACTGCGTTTTTATGATCAAATGTGAGACACAAAAGAATCCATTCTCCATTATCAGGTGTGCAACACAAAAAGAATCCATTCTTAAGAATGGGATGGAGAACTCTCCTCCAAGCAGGGTTGAGATTAAGAAATTTATAGTTTTCTGAGCTATTACATTTTTAGGGATGGGTTGTGATGCTTCTGTATTTACTTTAATTAAACTATACTGTATGGGTATGTCAATATTTTTCATTTTAGAATTCTGTTTCTTCTAATAGGCCTTTTCTCAGAAAGATTGTAGATTGCAAAAGAGGCCAGAAAAAACAACCAGAATAAAAGTTGGCCACCAACAATAATAGAATAATCTTAAAAACAACTCCACAGAGAATTCTGAATAGCTGTTCTGTGATCTCACAACTCCTTCTTTGCAACCTCAAGAGAGACATACAGCTGCATTCCAAAATTTCAATAGCATACTTGCCTAAATTGGTAGCATAACTTCCTGCCATTGAAGAAAAAACCCTAAAACAATATG